CTTCCACCCTGCCCCGGTAGCATCCAAAAACCAAGTCCAAGCACATCACAAATCTATAGAAACACAAATACTAGAAAACCGAAAAAACAAAGGCAACAATTGGAAATCGAATATTGGATTACTCACCTGAACTTTGATTGGAATTGATTGGAGCTGATTTGAGAACTTGCTTGCCTATGAGAACTGCCGGCACTTAGATCGGAGAGAAGAAGAGGAAGAGTTGCGGTGGTTTGCAAAGAGTCGATTAAGAAGGGTCGAGGGTTTATTTGATGTGTTGTTTCCATTTTTAGGTGAGGGTCAATTTCTCTTTATTTAGGTTTTTTAATGTAACTGTTGCTTTTATTATTTGAAAGGATTACTTTTATTTTTTTTGGTTCTTTTCTGAAAGGATTACTTTTATTATTCGATAAAAAAATATATTCTTGTTACTTCTTATTTTGAATATATTTACTCAATTCATTTTGGACTCCATTTTAAACTCCAAATAAAAAAAATTCAAAGAATTCAAAGAATTTACTCAACAGCTCGACCCCAGCCAGGGGCTCTTCCCCTTGGACCCCGCCAGGGGTTGCCGCCCCTTGGACCCCGCTACCAGGGCTGCCGCCCCTTGGACCCCGCTACCAGGGCTGCCGCCCCCGGACCCCCGCCGTGAAACTTTTAATGTTGTTGAACAAACATGAACTCCACACATCCAATTAATTAGCTAGGTTATTCCATTTTTATAAAGTTTATTCAATTATTTGTATAATCTAATTAATTACAGTAATTAAACACAACCGATCGATATCTGTGTTCTTAGGAGTTGACAATATGAACTAATTAATAAAATCGCCAAAACGAATTAATGTCACTATTATAAATAAAATATATACAATAATACAAAATTACATAACCAATTCTACAAGAAAGGTGGCATAACCAATTCTGTGAGACTTTATGAAATGTTAAGATGAGTACGTTGATCTGGTCAAATTTATTTAAATTTTAATTAAATCATATAACTCATTTTCTAAAAATTACTTTTAGTTTCATATTTTTAGTTTCAATAACTTATTTTTTAAAAAAACTTTAAAAACTGTAGTGAGAAATTTGCAACGAACACTCTGTTGCACCTACATGTTGTGAACATTTTACAACGGTAATCCGTTCCAAAAAAATGCACCGGAAACATCGTTGTAGAAATTTGTTGCAAAAATATTGCAAGGGAAACTCTTTTCTAAAAATATGTTGCAATTCCTCTGCAACAAAAAAATTGTTGCAAGAAGTTGTTGCGAATAATCTGCAACGAAAACTTCGTTGCTGAAATCTATTGCGAATACTCTGCAACAAAAACCCGTCACAAAAATCTGTTGCATAACGTTCCCAGAAAATGGCGCCAAGCTCCCGCCATAATTGCAACGCATCTTTTCACTTTTTGTTGCTAAAAATCTGTTGAAAAAAAATCTCATTGCAAATAAAATTACCGTTGCAATTTTGCAATGGAAATACGCCTGTTGCAATTTTCGGTTGCAAAATTGATTTTTTCTTGTAGTGCACGCATCTTGTTCATCAAGAAAGATAAAATTTCAAACAATAACTTATAATTTTCATAAGAGGATCTTGGGTGGAAACGATGTTTGGACTCAAAATTTTGTTTTCCACTGCTCTATCCAAGCATAGTTTCCCAGTAGGTAATGGCGATTTTGGGATAGGATGATGAATAATAGGCAGACTAACGCCCGGGTGAGGAACTCGAGGTAGAACGCCGGTTGGGGATTCGAGTATGTTAATTGCGTTATGATTTATTTTAGTTAGTGATGGCATATTGAGTCGAGAGATGAATATTAATGTAATTAGTCCAATATGTTTTTCAAGGTCTTTATCCTAACTGAAGCATGCTCATACTCGGTTAGGGTCCATTAGCTTATACAAGCTAGATTTATCCGCGTGGGGCGTGAGGCACCTTTGATTGGCTAGAATCGTGTCTAGCCAGGGTTAATTACTTGAAGAAAGGTTTATCTGGTTTCCAAAGTAAAGACTAATAGAATTAGGAAGCTAATGAGGCTATAAATACCCCAAAGGATTCGAATGCAGCAAGTCTTTCATACCCTTCTTGAGTTCAATATAGTTGTCTCTTTATTCATTCTATATTCCATAACTCGTGAGGGATCATGAAATTAACATATTTGGTGGAGTTAAAGTTCCATATTTACTTTGATTATAATATCTTGTTTTGCTATCTTTGCATGCAGATGGCTTTTCCTCTATCTCTCTATGTTAACTGTGGTGGTAACTAGGTGAAAAACGACCAAAATACCATTTATTGGACAACAAAAATAAGATATAAGTGATAATGTGGGAGAGACGTACTATGGATTTCAATGCCGAAAAGCATTTATGAAGGTTGTGAATTGGAACAAAGGAAACATAAACTTAAGGTTTCAACCAAATTTTACATTATTTTACATTATTCATCACTTTTACTAACAAATTTATATAAATTTAATAAAATATTTATATCTCAATAAAAATATTAATAAAATAATAAAAAAGAATTATAACAGTAAAAATAGAAAAAACCAATAAAAATAATAGTAATAAAGAATAGTACAAAGTAATAACAATAATAAGTAATAAATAAGAATAAAATAATAAATTCCAAATTAACAAAAATAAATAAAAAGAGTAACATAAATTAAATACCAAGTACTATTAATTATTGAAATTGAAAACAATAAAGTTGAAAATTAAAAACTCAAAATGATATAAGGTGTCGTTTCGTATATGGATTTGGAATTGAAATACAATTAAGTTTCTATGAAATTGAATTAGACGGAATTGAATTCTAATTCAATCCCAAAAACTATGTTTGATATCATTAAAAAACTGATATAGAATTGCATTGTAATTTCAAATTCTTTGGTAACACAAAATTGTATATAGAATTGATATGGAATTGTATTTTGAAAATTTCTCAAAATAGAGTTATTCAAACCAAATGAAAATTGATAGGACTCTGAATAAGACTTGTTTCCAGTTTTTGGTATCTATAAAAAATCCTCACTATTTTCAAACCTCATTCAAGCCCTAGCTATGTTGGCGAAATGTTAAAAAAGTTTTGAAAAAAATTATCTATTTTAAAATAGCTATTTTGATCTTTAAAAAATTATATATAAATATATATATGTGTGTGTGTGCGTGTGCGTGCGCGCACGCGCGCGTGTGTCTATATATATATATATATATATATATATATATATATATATATATATATATATATATATATATATATATATATATATATATATATATATATATATGCATACAAATCTTTAATTTTAATTTTGGTTTTGAATTTGAAATTTAAAATTTAAATCTTAAATCATAAAAATTTTAAACTAAAACTTAAAATTTAAAGTCCATGACTTCGTATTTAAATGAAATTGAAATTGTACAGTTTAAAATTAAAAAAAAGTTAAAAACAACAACTCGACACTGCAATGACGCTCGACCAAGCCTGGTGACCGGACTCTCCCTCAAGCCCTGCAATTGACATCCGCCGCGCGCCGCTCCCGTTAGAGGCGCGACAATTTCCTCCCCTTCCGTTGCAAATGTCCTAAATGCTTGGAGGCTCTCTTAGACTAAGAAGAGAACCACTTGTTTTGTATTCACAAAGAGAAGCATTATTGTTCACACTAAGACCCGGCCTATTATTCAGATTGGAAAAATTAATTTCTAATATTTTCCAACTCTTTCAAGTTTTTTCCAATAGCGACCTAAAAAAATTATGGAAAAATATGTTCTTTGGGTGATGTCTGGAAAGGCTTGCACAGATACATCACATAAACAACAATTGCCACTATCAAATGAACACAAATACTTTGTGTGCCTGAGAGAAAAAAAACAAAGGAAAAAATAGTGGTGGACAACACATCCAGTAGTTTCAAATACTCCGTTACAAACATGACATTCTCCCTACAGCCAATGTAGTATCGTTTCAAGAGGGGGAAACACAGATGGAAGAAAGATATCAGATTGATGGATCCCCACAATTATAACTCATGAACAAGCTAGTCATTTAAAGGAGTAAGACAGTTCTACAAAGAATTCACCATATTTGTTTCAAATGTGAAAATCATCATAAGCACAGAAACCTTGATAGTCTAGGCTCATGCTATCACAGCATTTAAACACACAAAAACACTGTGATCATTAGATTTCAAGGGAAGAATAATACGTAGTACTACGTAATAGTTATCGTAACAATAATGGACATGTGTCATAGTATGACACTGGTGGCTAGTGTCATTTCTACCAGCCCGTCAGCAAGTTGGTTTGGAAGTATCACGATCATCTTCACAGCAGTATTGGAGTCGACTGATGGCACAAAACTCAGTTTCATTTGATCGTCTAAAATTAGCGGACACTATAATTTCATGCAACACAACCAAAATCATAGTGGAAGGAAGTATATACGTTATGTTTTCCTAAGCATTCGTAGATTGTCAGATATTTCAGTCAAGAGTTTTATCCCTTCATCCCCTCTTTGTAAAGCCATAGCTGCACGCTTAATGAAGTCACTTTCTGCTTCGATCGTTCTCAATTTTTCTCTGATTGTTGCCACTTCTTTTGCAAGGCAAACCATTATTTCTTTATTTCCTGCCAGAAAGGGCACAAGTTTAATGGTCGTCTATTACGACTACGAGTCTGTTCTCTTCAACTTATTCTTTTTAGTTTTTACTTATTATGATTGGAATGAGATCAGACCACATCAAATAAAAAATAACTTTAAAATCTAACTGCAATCTGATCAGACCAGAGCCAATCAGGTCAGGTGAAGAGAACAAACCCCAATTAGTCGAGCAAAAACATAAACAGAAAACAGAATTACCTGAGCCTTGTTGTGGGTCTTGCTCTTCTACTCTATCTGATTTCAATTCAAGAAGAGATCCTTCGTCTGATGTCGCGTCTAATTTCTTTTCAAACTTTGACAACAATGACAAAAGCAAAGACCTCTCAGACTCTAGAGATGAACCCTCCAAGTTCTCATTTGCACCCCCCCCCAGAATCTTCTGTTACTGCAGCAGCACGCTCATGATCTGTTTTGGCGGCACAGTTTCCAAAGTCTGATATTTCACTGAAGGGTGAGTTGCATTGAAATCTTGCCAACCGATAATCTTCATCTGCACTAACCTCACATATTTCACTATCTACTCTAAACATCGGTCCGTTTGTGCCCCTATACATCTCAAGCTCAGATTCTAGAACCCTCACCTCTTCTTCTCTCTTTAGCAGCAAGTCCCTCATTACTTGCAATTCTTCTCGGTAATAATCTGCATGTTCTTCCATCATTCTCTGGTGCTGCAACGCTTCCATCTGAATGGCTGCCTTTTCAGCCTGCAACCGGGTGATCATTGCCATTGCGTTGTTTGCTGCAACAGCTGAAGCGCCCCTCTCTTCATCCAACTCCATGTGGAGAGTCATGAGAGCTTTGCGATCCAAAAGAACTTGCCTCTGCAGACGAAACAAAATGCCACCATCTCCTTCGTTCGCATCATCTTTCATCTCAGTAAGATCTGAGAGGACATCAATTGACATCTTTCTTGACTTCTTACTGCACCATCTAGGACTAGCTAGAGTTGAATCTGACAAGGGTATCCAGGAAAACTTGTTTACTCTGCTACAGCTCGGGGTTTTGCAAGCCTCCTCATGCAGGGCCCAAGATTCCGGCTGCAATGGCACTGTTGTAGATTTACTAGTCTCCCCACCACCTAAAGTAGAACATCATATAATTATTATGCCAGTTAATAATCTACCCATAACAGAATTTCGTCTATGAGACCTCTCCAACTCATATGTCCATTGAACTGCATTGATGAGAGAAATCCTAAAGATGAGCTAGCAGCTAATCACAAATTAAGAATTGCAATAATTCACGAATCCGAGAACAGCTAAGCACAAAGAATTGTAATATGAAATTTGAAACTAGCTAGACACGGGTGCATAAAGAACCTGCACCTCCATTCAAAACATCATCATCACCGTCATCATCTGGAAGTAGAGCTGAATCATTGTTCAATATCCACTTGAGCTTATCAGCGCATGATATTTGGGATAAATCGAGATTGGGCATTTCCTCCTCAGTACTTGCTGTCCAGGTTCGAGGGGTGTGGGGTGGAGCAATGGGTGGTGCTTTAACAGACTCGCTTCTCGTGTATTTCATCCTCCTCCTTGGGATCTCCCCACAACACGAGCACCTCTGTTGGCCTTCATCAACAACATCTCTCCTGCAGAATCTTGCAACTGTTCTGGGATCATTACTGCTGTCAACGACGAAGCAATCGTATGGGTTGTTATCATTGTGGAGAATCCCCACCAGAGACTTGTACCTGCTGTCATCACCACAACACACCTGGCCATTGAACGAGAGAAGGCACCCCTCGCACATGGTTCGGATATCCGAGAGCATCTTGTGGGCATGGCAATACGCGAGGGAGGAAATGTCCTTCATGTGGTCTTCGCAGACGGACCCATTCCAATAGGATGTCGAGTTTCTGTGAGCTAGGGAGCTATGTATCCGGGTGCAAAGGGAGCAGGGGGTTCCCAATTCAAAGAGTCTGGCGAATTCGGAGGAGAAGAAAGCCAAAAACCCATCGAGGAGAAGCAGGATGATCATTACGAATTCCAGAAGGGCGTAAATCAATGCAAGCCCATGTCTGCCCACATTCTGTTCGACGAAACACCTGAACGACAATGTTGTCATTCTGAATATGTCGTTGGAGGGAACAAAAGGACGACACACGCAACAAAGCCGAGGTAAACCCAGATCATGATCTTGGTGGTGGTGGTGGTGGGAGGGTGAACCGCTGATGAATCCCCCCAGTCCATGGCCTCGATCCCGCTTTAGGTTTCGCGCAGGGTGTGGTACGGCCTGATTTGATCAATCATTGTTGGGTTGGTTCATTGAGGACGAAAACGAGAAACAAGTCTTCCCAATCAAATATTTGGAAGGGTGCCAAAAAGGATCAGGTGGGGGTCTCGATAGGAAATACTCCCATGCATGACATACAGCTTTAATTTGAAGCTCCACATCGAATGCACCAACACTGCATGCCCGACATTTTACCATAATCAAATGAACACACTATCATAAACATACTCTTACACTCACATTGGTCCTCAACCACGACTCACTCCAAATAAGCAATCACTCAATGTCGAATTCACTCACTTCATAGATAGAAACGCCGTTTCGGAGAGGAAAAAACTTCGAACATCATCAACCTCCAGAAAAAGGGGCAGAGAAAGAGAGGAAAACTTCCAGCTTTCGGACTTCAAGAAAAAAAGAAGAGAATTAGGGCTTTATATTATTTCTAAGGCTAGACATACATATGAGCAAAATAAGCATTCCTTTATTACTTAAATAAAAATTTATTTTTTTAAATTAAAAAATATAAAAAAAGGTTTTTAAGGTTTTTTGTTAAAATATCCACAAAAATAGAATGCAACCAAGATGCACCATAGAAATACTCTATTTCTAATTGATTACAATGAAAGGGTTACATCTCTAGATTACCCTCTCACACCCAAAGTGCACCATAGAAACACTTTATTTCTAATTGATTACAATGAAAGGGTTACATCTCTAGCTATTTATGGGAGATAGAGAAATCAAAATGCTAACCTTAAATGTCGGTTCAATAAATGCATCGATGTAAAGAACAAAAAATCTTCAAAAGAGCTTATAATTCTACTCACTTTAGAAAAACCAAATTACTTTAAATATTAAATACTAAAAATAAATACTAACTAAGAAATAATTACTTAAATATCCTAATCTACCATGCCTACACTCTCACACCCTTAGAGAACCACATTGTTCTCAAGATGGAGACTCCCACTATTTATTTTGGATATGTGAGAAAGTGTTGAACTAGAAAAAATGCCCAGGCCACTTGTTAACCGATCTTCAAAAAGCTTGTTAGTTGGAGAACGAGGTACTCCAACTTCACTAGAACTAGGTACTCCGACTTCACAACATCAACAAGTTCAAAAAACTTGACTGCATTGTTGAAGATAATGTAATATCCCCTTTAGATATCTTTTTTATGTTGCTATTTTTAGATTTTGATAAATGACAAACACATCAACAACATTATTTTATATATCAAGAAGGCAAAGAAGCATGTCAAGAAATACAAGTCGGATAAACAATGTTCAATCCCTACGCAGTTGTAGAAGTGAAAGTGAAGATTTTCAAAAACTTTTTAATTGTTTGAGTCGTAGAAAATGTTGTAAGGATGACAAAATATTTTTTAGTTAAAACAAACTTTTTTCCGTCATTGGTTATGAACTCGAGGATTGCAATATTCGATCGATGGTTTTTTAATTACAATAAGGGTCTGTTTGGTATACGGAATTGATATAATTGGAATTAAAATTTCATGGGGTTCAATTCAATAGAATTGAATTCATCAATTCCAATTCATTTTTTGCATTATCAAAACACATCATTTTTGTGCTACCAAACACTGGAATTGAAATTGAAGTTTTCAATAACAATTCAATAATTTGAATTTCATGTACTATACTGGGCCTAAGAAAATTGATGAGCATGAAGAATTGAAGTTATTGTGAAATCTGATAATAGTGCAACTTTATAGAATAATTAATACTCTACCGAGTATTTGCTCACTCTGGACTTTTTTGATTAAAATTGGTAAACTTTAGTCTCAAATTAAATTAAGTAAAAATGATATTAGATATTAATACAAAAATAGTTTTAATAGATTTATTATTTTAAATATTTTCAAAATATTATTTTATCTAATTCATATACAATATATATTTTATTTTATTATAGATTAAAAACTGAAAACAATTAATAAAAAAGTCAAAAAACAAACACGGGAATAAAATTGAAACCGTAGGGGACTGCCCGTAATCCACTCCGGTTACGGTATCCCCACTGGAAACCGGTGGTCCGTGTCCACATCTACAATGATATTTGAAATTTTCAGGGTTTTTTTAGTAAAATTAGGATTAGTATATTTTCTCAAGAGACGGCGGGGACTAGTAGGCTACTTTGACCCTTCCCGATTTTCCAACACCATTCACCTGATTTTCAGCCCTCCAACGATTTCAAAATTAAAATAGGACTGTCCTACACTCCTACGCCTACTCCTACGTCGTTTTTTTTTAAAAAAAAAATCCAAACAGAAAATAAATTATGCATTCTTCCTGGAACTGGAAGGCGACCGACCCAGAAAAACCCCATCATATTTCCCCTCTTCTCTCTCTCTCTCTCTCTCTTCAAAAGTTCAAAGTCCTACTCCGTTTAGTATTGTTGTATATCTCCCCCTGAATTTCGAATTCTTTTTAAGTTGAATCCATCAATTTCCGGCTCAAGCTAGAAGTGGTCTGAGTATTTTAGAGACATCAAATTTGTCTGGAATTTTGCAGGCTAATCTCTTTCTCGTTTTCTCTTTCAGTTTAATTTAGAGAGATCAAATTAGTCCGGAATTTTGATGATTCACTGACTTTTTTTTTCTATTGAAAAAAAAAACTGGGTTCATGTTGATGAACACCGGCCGCTGAAGGAGAGCTCCTTTCACCGATTGGAGACCTGTTATCACAAGTAATTGAAAATTATGAAGAGAGCTAAGGTTGACTTGTTCTTACCCTTCAGCCGGAAGAAGTTGTTGCAGATTTTGATTTTTATAGGAGTTGTGTATGGAATCATGGTGGTTCTAGAGGTACCCTTCTTGTTCAGAACTGGGTCGAGTGTCGTTTACCAGGAGGGGTTTGGGAATGGGTACTTGAGTTCGAATTCGAGGCCAGAGGTGCTCGACAGCGAAGAGAGTTTGGAAGAAAAAGAAGCTCCCAATCGGCCCCTGGATGTTCCTTTTCGGGTTCCATTTGATTCAAGGCCGGAAAGAAGGATCAAAGAGTTGCCGAATCACCCACTTTCCAACTTGGTGCTTGACAATTGCTACTCCAATGTGAGCAGGGAACATGGGTTTTCTGGGATTCTGAAGTCCGCTGAGGAGGCTATCAAACTGGGGAGGAGAGTGTGGGAGGAACTAGAGAAGCCTAGAGAAGAAACGGTTTCTGCGGAGAGTAGTAATTACAATAACAACAAAAACAAAGCACTGGAATGCCCTTATTCGATTTCTATGTCCGGGGCAGATTTTATGGCCAAAGGTAAAATGATGGTGTTGCCCTGTGGGCTGACCCTGGGGTCGCAGGTGACGGTTGTGGGGAGGCCGAAACGGGCTCACCCGGAGACTGACCCGAAAATATCATTGCTGAAGGAAGGGCAGTTCTTAATGGTCTCACAGTTCATGATGGAGTTGCAAGGACTGAAGACGGTTGATGGAGAAGACCCACCAAGGATTTTGCATTTCAACCCAAGGTTGAAAGGGGATTGGAGCGGGAAGCCTGTGATTGAGCACAATACTTGTTACAGGATGCAGTGGGGAATCGCTCAACGATGTGATGGGTGGCGGTCTAAGGATGATGAGGAGACTGGTATGGTGACTACCACTTCTTTGCAGTTTTATTTCATTGATATGATTTTTTAGTTTGCTTCAATTATTACGAATATTTAGATATATGACACTTCATACTATCCGTTTTCTTTTTCTTCTTTTTTTTTGGACAATGTTCCCCATGTCTGTGACAAAGAGGGATCTACTTTTTGTTGAAGTTGCAATTTTCTACTCATATAACCTTTTAATGGATAGAATTCCTGGGTTCAACTTGAGGAGTTTTGGATAATGGCAATTGCAACTTTCTCGGTCAATATTGTTCCTGCACTGCAATTTGCTGGTTGTAAATAACATTTTGGCTTTTTACAGTTGATGGGCATGTAAAATGTGAGAAGTGGGTTCGTGATGATGATAATAGTTCTGAACAGTCAAAGTCGACGTGGTGGTTAAACCGGCTAATGGGGCGAACGAAGAAGGTGACTGTTGATTGGCCATTCCCATTTTCAGAGGAAAAGCTGTTTGTGCTAACTCTTAGTGCTGGCTTGGAAGGCTATCACGTTCATGTTGATGGAAGGCATATAACTTCATTTCCATACCACGTTGTATGTACCATCCCACCCTTACCTTATAATTCCTGATAAAATTTCAAATGAATTGTTCCTCAGGTGTTTTTTTGGGTTCCTTTAGGGATTCGCACTTGAGGATGCTACCGGTTTATGGTTGAATGGTGACATTGATGTCCATTCAGTCTTTGCCACTTCCTTGCCTATATCAAATCCTAGTTTTGCTCCACAAAAGAATCTCGAAATGTCAAACGGATTGAGGGCTCCACCTCTCCTTGATCTACCTGTGGAACTATTCATAGGTGTTCTATCTGCAGGCAACCATTTTGCCGAGAGAATGGCTATTAGGAGGTCATGGATGCAGCATAAGCTAATTAAATCTTCAAATGCTGTCGCTAGATTCTTCGTTGCATTGGTAGGTGTCCTCAACACATTTTTATTTAGGGTGTGTTTGGTCAGGAGGATAAAATGCTTCTAATTCCCACCCGTTCTTGCCATTCCTTCCCTTGACCCCCTCCAACCAAACACACCCTTACCAGGATCGAAATTTTCAAGTTTGGAAGTTGTTTAAGTTCATATTTTGGACCGTGTTTTGAACAGCATGCAAGAAAGGAAGTGAATTTGGAGCTAAGGAAAGAGGCTGAATTTTTTCGTGATATTGTCATAGTTCCATACATGGACAACTATGACCTTGTTGTTCTGAAAACAGTTGCTATCTGTGAGTTTGGGGTGAGACTTTATTCGCTCGTTAAACCTTGTGTGATGGAAGAACGAATCAATTTTTTTACCTCCACATATCCGATCTTCTTTCAATGTCATCTGCAGGTCCATGC